AGGGGGGGGGGGAGGCGATGTCTGTTTCAACTAATCTACACAACAACCGCGATCAAACCTGCACAAAAGCTCTTTGGTTTTTGCTGACCACACGTGCTCTACGTCACTGACAGTCGGTTCACTTCTCGAGTTCCATCTCATCGGAAATTGAAATATGTCGCTGACCTATGCCCATTGAGACTAGGCAGTCACACGATCGACGACTTATGTCAATTTCAGATATATTTTCACTAGTGTTGGCTGCCCTTTTAACCGTTTGAAACGTCTGTACGTTCCTGCAATAAACAGATTTTAACTAAGAAGTGGATTTCTGAGGATGAGCAGATGTACCGATGCACCACGAGCAGGGGTATCGTTGTTGCTTATACCATAAGAATCCCCGTAGAAAGAGGAATTAATGAAATTGTCTTTAAGCACTTAAGAGCATCTTTGTGGCTAGTACCGACTTTATTATTCGCTTTTAAAAATATTGGCTTGTTCTGAAATCTTTAGAATTTAGTCAAATGTGTACCGTCCAACCTTTTCCTTTACTCATTTTTATTTATCAATATTTCTTGCAGACTTTCTGGAAAAGCCACGTAGAGCTCTTTGCCTTAAAAGCAATACCCTGTGCTCTAACAATGGGCCTCAACATGACGTCTGGTTATTTGCTTTTGGCAACAGCGGTGCTTCTCTCGTCCAATGCACTACTTCTCAATGTAACGACGGACGAAGTGGAAATAGGGAAAACAAAAAACGTTTCCTTAGAATGCATCGATGATCATATTCAACCACACATCTCTGAAGTTCTCATGATTAGAATTCTGAAAAAAGACCTCGTTGGGTGGAGTAGTTTTGCAGAACTTCGTGACAGAGATACAGAAGTAACGCCAAAACGTAAGGATGTACTCGCCACGGCCAACAAGTCTTCCATTGCTAAAAGTTTTCTTCGGCTCACGTGGCCTGTGGCGACTGATGATGCTATAGGCCAATACAGATGTGATGTAATTAGTTTGACTTCCCGAGGGAATGTCAACTGGCAAAAAACCCTACCAACGTTTATCTCTCAAAAGAGTGACGTCACATTGAAGATCCTAAACAAAATAGTGGAGGAGAACAAAAAAGACTGCCTCCAACGACTGCAATCTCAGAGGGAAACCATTCTGGATAACGTAACAACTACTGCAGAGGAAAACAAGAGACAATGTATGCTGCAAAAAGATGACATTCTACGAAACGTCACGGCGACCGTCGAGTCTCTTGGAGTGAGTTTTGAGGACCAGCTACAGGTGAGAATCTCTCTCGTAGTATCGTTCTCCACTATTGGAGAGTAGAAATTGCTTTTTAAGAAAAAGTAGCAAAAATCTGCCGCTTTCCAGGGCAAATAAGAAGTCCCCTCCCCCAGTATCAGTTTTGCGTAAATATGAAGTGGGAAAATAAATCTATTACGACATGTCCTTGAAATTTCCCATAGTGTCAGTGTAGAAAGTGGTTTGCACTGATATAGGCGGTGAAAGAGCAATTAAATTAAACTGTGTCTTACAGATTAGCTACTGTTCGTCGATATCTCAAGAAAGACCCCAGTCTTTACTTCGCACATTTTTCTCCATCTTTTGCTAAGCTGGAAGAGCTTATTGTTATTAGGAGGGGTCAGTACGGATCCCATTATAGAAGAAGAAGAAGAAGAAGAAGAAGAAGAAGAAGAAGAAGAAGAAGAAGAAGAAAGAGAAGTGGAAGAAGAGGAGGAGGAGGAGAAGGAGGGGGAGCAAAAGGAGGAGCAAGAGGTTAAAAAGGAGCATTAAAGAGAGAGAGAGGAGGAGGAGGAGGAGGAGGAGGAGGAGCTGAATAAAGGGTAGAGAAAGAGGAGGAGGAGGAGGTGGCGGAAAGGCAGAGGGAAAAATGACGAGAAGAACAAGGGGGAAAAAAGAGGATAGGAAGAAGAAGAGGAGGAGGAAGGAACGTGAGGAGAGGAAAAGGAAGAGGAGGGGGAAGGGGGAAATAACCCATAGTCAGGATAATCGTGACAATAGACAGAAGAAATCTCTCTCGGGAGCAGAAAATAGCTTCGTTTGATATTCGTAAAGTGCACAGACGTGGGGGGAGGGGGGGGTGTTGGATGGGTGTTATGCTTGACTTACTAAAACGTTCATAAGCCTTTTGAGTGACGTCGCTTTTGCAGGTTCTGAGCCAGACAGTAGACCAGAACAAGAGAGAGTGTCCACACCAAATGCTGTCCCAGAAACGCCAGATCCTGGAGAACGTGGAGGCGATCATGGAGCAGAGCAAACGAGAGTTTATCCAACGGGAAGAACGTATTCTTGGCAACGTCACGGCGATTGTCGAGGCCCTAGAAGCGGGTTTTGAGCGCAAGCTGAGTGCTATGAAAAGCCAGCTACAGGTGAGAATATTATGTCGATGCGATTGATCTATATTATTGGTGTATGGATATTTGCCCAGGAATTCTTATAACAAATAACAATAATATTATTAATAATAATAATAATAATAATAATAATAATAATAATAATAATAATAATAATAATAATAATAATAATAATAGTAATAAGAATAACAAATACAAGAATAATAACTAAGATAACTGATTTTATATAGTTTGCATCCACGCTCAACAGAATGCTTTATCTGCTCTATAACCGTCTAGAAAAAACACAAAAAAATAAGCTAAGCTTTGATATTGCATAACGCGATCCGCTTCTTCTTATGTTGACTCACCTTTTCTCTTCATATTGGCAATTGACTGGGTTATGAAAGAAGTCACCAGAGGCAAGCGCAATGAAATACACTGGATCCCTTGGCAGCCGCTGGACAACTTGGACTTCGCCGATGACCTTGCACTGCTCTCTCACACACATGCTCAGATGCAAAAGACCAAGGAGCTCAACAGCCTTTCAAGGAGTGTTGGTCTACGTATACATACGCGCAAGTCGAAAGTAGTGAAGTTGGGAAAAGTTTCAAGCCTTGCTGTGACAGTGGAAGACACTCCCCTGGATAAAGTGGACTCCTTTATCTACCTTGGAAGTTGTATCGATAGTAAAGGTGAAACTGAGGCAGATGTAAAAGCAAGAGCCGCCAAGGCAAGGTCAGCATTCAGTCAATTATCAAAAGCTTGGAAAGCAAGCTACATTTCACTGCGCACCAAGATTCGACTCTTTAACTTAAATGTCAAGTCTGTTCTTATCTACAGCAGTGAAACTTGGAAGACAGCAAAGACAGTGCTGAATAAAGTCCAGACTTTCATCAACAGATGTATGAGGAGTAGTGGCAGGATATAATAAGAAATGAAAAGCTGTGGGAAAGGACAGGACCAAAAGATATAGAAGTAGAAATAGGACAGAGAAAGCGCGATGGATTGGGCATACCCTCAGAAAGCCCAGCGGAAACATCCCAATACATTTGCTGCAGTGGAGCCCTCAGGGAGCACGAGGCAGGGGTCGGCCACTGGAAACATGGAGGAGATGTGTGGAAAGGGACATAAGAGAGATGAAGCTCACTTAATTGGAACGAGCTTTGAAGGATGTCCCAGGACAGAGATAAATGGAAGGAGCTTGTATGTAGCATGTACCCCTATTTGATTGACTACATCAACTGATTGACTAGGTGTTAACCTGCTTGATTAATCGAATAAGGAAAAAATTGATTTGACCTGACAAAATGGCGGAGTGACAAGCTAAGAGAGTATGTTTCTAGCAAAACATATTAATGACTAAGTGATACACTGGTCCATAAATGGGTTTTAAATGTCGAAATTTGCAAATAACAATCATACCTTCACTAAGGCTTATCAAGCCCCCCCCCCCCCCCCACTCCCCCGTCTGACATCTTTTGGTAACAACTTCACCTGGCCATTTCCGTTGCTGTACATTGATTGCGTCAAGACGCGGAGAAAACAGGCGATCGTCAATTTTTTGGGCATATTATGGTGTTATTGGTGTAATTTTAAAGCCTGTTCCCATTCATCTTACATAGAGGTCGAGAAATAATTATGCAATTGAAGGAGATGGGGTCACATAGTGTCAAAGAAAAAATTAGCGAAAAAAGGCTGCGACACGCTTGACTTCCAAAGCTGTAGTGTCCTTGGAAAAGGCAAATTTACATTTTCTGTTCCTTTTATCTTCTCTTTTTTCAGTAAAATCCATACAGGATTTTCAAAAGGAAATGAAAGGTGTTGGGGCAAAAAAGTGGTAATAATGCGTTAAAAAATTGCTCTCCGGGCTGAAAAACATGTCGGTTTTTTAGATTCCTTTATTAGAACCAGCGCCTAATTTCACCACGATGCAATACTATTTCTGTCTGTGTTCATTTCTCTTCAGACGTACTCTTGTGCCGACGTGACTGGCCTGGGTGATCGACCAGTTGTCCGACTCTTTAGCGGCATGGAGGTCGTCTGTGACACCATAACCGACAACGGTGGCTGGATTGTGATTCAGGTGAGATAATCATTATAGAACTTATTCAGGCTGATACAATATAGGTGAGATAACCATTATAGAACTAATAATTCGGTCTGACACAATACAGGTGAGATAACCATTATAGAACTAATTCAGTCTGATACAATACAAGTGAGATCAACGCATACATAACTTATTTCGGCTGAGATCATCATTACAGACTGATGCAATACGTGTTTAATCAATATTATATAAGTAATACAGGCTGGCACAATGAAATCAACATTACATATCTATTATAATTTCGGCTGGTATAATACAGGTGATATCAACATCATAAATAACTAGTTCAGGCTAATACAATGCAGTTAAGGGCAACATTATAATAATATAACTAATACTGGCTGCTGATACAATACAGGTGAAATCAACATTATTTAACTAGTCAGGCGGATACAGTGCAGGTGAGATCAATATTCTATTTTGCTCAGTGACTTTCTAAGCCTTTAATAATTATAATATTATAAATCTATGCGCAGTGCAAGGCGTTGCCTTGCAACGACACATTATCTCGTTTTTATTTCTAAAAAATGTAGTGTTTGATGTATGCTCAAGAGAAAACCAAATGCCATATCCCTAAGTACTTTAAGTACCCCGATGACACAGTGGAAGTTATGTGCGTTTGCTCCAAATTCACAGCCCCATGAAACTTGTGAGATCGAAGACAAAAAGCTGTAGATTTCATTATTGATTTTAAAAAAATGTTTAATAAGGTTAATCTAAAAAAGGACTTTGAAATCAGGAACAGATTTTTAAACATAGTGAATCACAGATTAGCACGATTTTTCACACAATATGATAATTTAACGTAATGCTTCATTATAAAATGGTTCTCTTACTGGTAGAAATTTATGTTATGTCTACAGAGACGTGCTTCAGCGGACGTTGATTTTTTTCGTAGTTGGGCAGACTACAAAAACGGATTTGGCGACCGCTCTGGCAATTTCTGGTTTGGGTTGGAGAAAATCCACCAGCTGACAAATCAGGTACTTTGCTTTTACTTCAAAACAATACATGATTAAACTATATACCAGCGCTGTATGCACCGTTGTTGTTGTCAATATCGATGACCTTGCCTGTATAGTCATCGTCTTTCGTGATACTCGTTGTGTTTATTATCCTCTGTCTTAATATACTTTTATTATGGGTAAAAGAATTAAAAGTAGTATTCACAGAATACGTTTTCAGAGCCCTTTACCTAATTGACTCTGTCATATTCAGAGAGAACTCGCGCCTTATCGTATTTGGAAGTGACGTAAACACCATACCTTGCCTCTGGAAACATAGGTAGTGGTTGCTTAATTTAGTTTTTGTTTGTTTTAGTAGAGGTATTACGGCGCTCGCAACTGCATAAGGTCATGTGAGCGCTAGAAGATTAGAGGTGTTACAAGAGAGTAACAAACATTTAAAAAAAGAAGGAGGGGAGATAAGGACGATAGATGTTTGATAGGAAAGAAGAAGCAAACCACACCAGAGCACCCGCCAACCACCCACGGTTGCTTAATAATATATTATTACTTGTATTATCATGATTACCATCATTATTGTTACCATTGTTGTTGCTGTTGATCTTGGTGTACATTTACATTCTAATTTCTCAATTCTTTGAGACAGAGGAGTGCATGCAGTGTTGCAGACCTTCTCTACAAGTCACAGACTGCTGTTTGTATAGAGCCATGCACATCTACCATTTTTCTACATTTGATACGGAATGGCTTCTTCATGGTTTTCTGTTTCTCTTCAGCTCCGTTTTATTTTTCGTTGAGGTATTTTTTGCCCTATTGGCTACAACACTTACGGCAGTTCGAGAGCGGTGCGCATGTTCCCATCAAGGACACCCGTCTGAAAAACGGCTATTTTTGTCTGTTTTGAAACTTCGTCTTTATATGTGATAGATGTTTTAATTTTACTCTCGTTCTAATCACCAGAGGAAATACGAGCTGAGGATCGACATGAAATACAAAGGGAAAGACTACCACGCCACCTATAACAACTTTTTACTTCACGGAGAATCTGAGAACTACAAACTTCAGATATCCGGATTTTCGGGTAATGTACAGGACAACATGAAGTATAACAATGGCGAGGGGTTCTCAACCAAAGATCGTGGTACAACCAGATGCGCCAAACAAGACCACGGAGCTTGGTGGTACGATAATTGCACTTGGGTGAACCTCAACGGAGCGTGGGGAAACACAGAGAGCGAGAAGGGCTTGATCTGGGAAAGTGTAACGGGACATTCCGACTCGGTCACCTTCTGCGAAATGAAGATTCGACCATTTGATAAGTGACAGCTTCCGCACACCTGTTAAGGCCTACTCCTTCTGTTCATTATACGTAATTAGATGTTATGCTTGTATTTGTGCTTAGATTTTTTTTGTTGCTTTATTCGTTTTTCATGTCCTTTTTATTTGTTTTGTTAGAGGGAAAATGTAAAACACTGACTGTATAACGTCATGAATTTTAGATATTTTGTAAAACTTTGTTTGATTCATGGTCACAAGTTATAGAACATAATTTTTTCCAAAGCTAGAATAGCATACTGAAACGCAGAAGCAGATAAAATCTCATCTCCCACTCTGTGGCTCCAAAACTTTAAAAAATTAAATTTCATGCTAAATTGTTTTTCTTTCCTGGTCGCACATACACGCACGTACAGAAACATTCATCAACATTGTACTAGTGTCTAGATGAC